TTTATTTTATTTTTTTTTTTAAATTTCTTGTGTAATTTTGAAAGTTTTAATGGTTTTATTCTTTTGTGTGATTTTAATGTTTTAATTGTGTTTTAATCTTTTGTGTGATTTTAATGTTTTAATTGTGTTTTAATCTTTTGTGTGATTTTAATGTTTTAATTGTGATTCTGGTGTTTGTTTTATGTGATGATTTGTGATGTGGACTGTGAAGCGCTTTGTGTTGCCCTGTGTATGAAAGGCGCTCTACAAATAAACTTTGATTGATTGATTGATTTACGCTGCCATAATTTGTTCCTCTTTTGGGCCCAAAATCAGGTATTTTGGAGACTAATGATGGGTCCTGATAATGTAATTTTTTAATTTATTTTTTGCAGGTCTTGTCCATCTGTCCCAAAGACATGCGCGCCGACATCTGTGTGCACCTCAACAGACAGGTGTTCAATGACCACGCCGCGTTCCGATTGGCCAGTGACAGCTGCCTGCGCTCTCTGGCAGTGGAGTTTAGCACCACACACTGCGCCCCAGGAGACCTCATCTTTCACATCGGTGAGAGCGTGGACACCCTCTGCTTTGTGATCTCCGGGTCACTGGAGGTTATTCAGGACGATGAGGTCATTGCAATACTCGGTAAGAAACACTTTTCAACAACATTTATCGACATTATAAACATTGTTGGACCAATACCAATGTGTTTTCTATTTTATTTCTTGTGTTTGAACTGTTTTGTTATCTGATCCGTGTTGGCAAATTCAACGGTTGTGTAAAGTCCTCTGAGATTTAGGACAATACAAGAATAAATGCAATTGAATTGTGTTGAATCAAATTGAATTGAATACAAACAACTTGACATTTCTTTTTCAAACTATGTGGGAGTTTACAAAATCCAATCCAGTGCTGACTCACTGGTGGCACCTGAACTCTTTTAGATGGTCCATGGATCAACTGGAAAAGCCTGCAGGTTCTCAGGTTTTCATTTTTACCAAGCAGGAACAGACCAGACTCCACCCATTGAGTGGAGGAATGAAAACCTGAGGCCACATGACTCATTTAAGACTGGAGAACGGACCACTGATACAGATGTTTGCGCTTGACCAGTGATTTTCTAGTTATTCATGAATTCTCCTATTTTTTTCAGCTTTGGTATTTTAACCCTCCCAGGGCCGAATTGAGTTTCTATGACACTGAAAATCTGATATTTGGAGCAAAATTAACAAATAGGGTAGAAATATATAATCCTAACTTTTTTTTTGAGAGAGAGAGACCTTCTCAGGCAATGCATTCTGGGATGTTGCAGATTTGCAACATTGGCCCGCTGTGGTAAATAGAGCTGACCCGGGGATAACCCAGAGGAGATATAATCTATTAATTGGCAGGTAATGTCTATATATATATTTGTCTTTCATTTTATGCAGTTTTGGTTTTTTATTTACTAGAGGTTAGTGATACTGACTTGAAAAATTGTTTTGGTGACACCAAGGACTGACATTTTGGAGAGGGACTGACTTCCCTTGGTGAGCAGGTGGAAGTCCAGTTGTTTACTTCTGAGTAAAAAAGCGATCTGGAGTAAATAGCTAATAGGAAATGATCCTGGGTTCTCTAAATCATGCATTAAAATGTGTTATGACCTGTCTGTCAATAGCCAACCTGTTCCAGCGGTAATCTCTGCCTGTTGTAGGTAAGGGTGATGTGTTCGGAGACGTGTTTTGGAAGGAGAGCACCCTGGCACGCGCCTGTGCAAACGTGCGCGCGCTCACGTACTGCGACCTCCACGTGATCAGGAGGGACCCGCTGCTGCGCGTCCTGGAGTTCTACACAGCCTTTGCCAGCTCCTTCTCACGCAACCTGCTGCTGACCTGCAACCTGCGCAAAAGGGTCAGTCGTACATTTAGGATTAGTGAGCTGTTTACACGAGGAGACGCTGCGACAGTAAAACATAAGAGTTGGGAATCGAATTGGGCTTTCGTTTACATGAAGACGGTGTTTCAGGGGGTGAAGTTCTAGTTTCAGTTTCCACCTTCGCAGCTGCTGTTAAATACAGAATGATTTTGGTGCCCTCTCTCACGTCTTTGCTGTGGCCTGAGGAGGATGTTGTTGAGGAAGTGAATATACTGGTGGGGGGGGGGTCGTGTCGTAAAGTTCCACTGCCTCCTACTGGCCGGTCGCTAGAACTGCATTGTTTTCCGTCATTGTGTAGACACTGTGCACTTCGATTAAGGAGCTTGGTCGTTTCTGCGAATTGCTTTGCAGCATCTCCGTCTTTACGGGTCTAAGATTAAAATTAAGATTAAGAGATCTTTTATTCGTCCCACAGTGGGGAAATTTCAGTGTTGCATCATCAGTTACAGGACAGCATAATAGCATAATAAAGAAGCAAGTATGAAATCTCTAACTTTAGAAGAAAAAGGCTGATTGGTTCAAGAAGTGCAGGGTAGAGTAATCTAATTGGTTGAAGCAGTTACTGTGGCGACATGTAGTATGGGAGAACTGACAGACATAGTAGGACAGAAAACCTGCAACCTTCTTGCACACACATACCTATACAGTACATACAGTTACACTCTGCTACACAACCACAATCAGTGCATTGATGATTATTTATGATAAACATCACACTTTAACAAAGAGAATACTTTTATTTATTACAATAATGTGCTGTTTGAAGTTCCACAATCAAGGGACTGTAATCTTATTTCCATTCATTATTCTTAAGAAATATTTGAACATAAATCATGTGAATGAACTAAACTGTGTTCATGCTTCATAAATTATGGCTACAGTCGAACTTTGTTGTGTAAAAATTGCAATGAAAGCGTCAATTACGAACAATGTGTTAGTTTTGCTCCACAGAAGCTGAGGCCAATGCACCAGCCCTCATCTATAAAATACATGAAACATTACAACAGAATGAGTTATAATCGTTCTAAATCTATATTACTGCAGGATATTTTTTATTCCATACATAAATGTTTTAAACTGTAAATCAGACAAAGCATTCTTCAAAGTGTATATCAGCATATCGTCTCCCTACGGGGGAAGAAAGTGCATGAATTGTTAATGGAATTTATATATGTGATATGTTGAAGTATGGAGACGACGGTGGCTTTAGCTGTGTGTGCACATTTACATAAGGGCTGCTGTCGCATACAGGCAATACTGAAGCTTGACTTGAACACACTCTGGCACAGGGTGACTACTTCTCCAATATTTATGATGTTACGCTTAAAATATATTCATTGTAAATAAAAAAGCATGTATTATTAATCTGTATGACCTCAAAAATAATTTGTGCACACTTTTTGCCTAGTTTTTGTTTGCTTAGCAAACATGATTAAAATAAGAATACATTTAGATTGGCTTATGATTTAGCATTATCTGTACATTGGAAAAATGTCATCTCTGAAATGAACACAAATCAAACAGACTGTTACAGCAAAAAGTACAGTAGGGAATGAACACGGTTTGTCTTGAACTGGGAGAATAATTCAAAAGCCTTGTGCGCTCTATTGCATTATTGACCCATTAACAATATCCCCTGTGCTTCTGAAGGCTTTAATATTTCAGAACACTAGACTGCGTACATTTAATGCTCCATCTATTGATATCTGCTCATCCTTCTCCTGGTATTTCCTGACAGGTGATCTTCAGGAAGATCGCAGATGTGAAGAGGGAAGAGGAGCGTCAGAGAAACGAGGTGGCTCTGTCCATCCCAGAGGACCATCCTGTGCGCAAGCTGTTCCAGAGGTTCAGGCAGCAGCGGGACGGGCAGACCCCTGACTACTGTGACCACAACTGTGTCCAGATCGAGCCACAAGACCACAACAGCTCTGACCACAACAGCGCCCCAGCCCAAGCCTCCCCAACACAGGTCCACAGAGAGGCAGCGGCTCCGGATGGGAGCGCAGGCAAACCCAGCCTGGAGGCCCCTGTTCAGAGCCCTGCCCCTGCAGTGTCTCTGCGAGGTGGGGCCAAGGGCTGGGCCAAGTTTAAGAGTGCCCCTGCTGCTCCTCCTGCGGCCCCTCCAGCACAGAAATCCCTGGGGCCCGATCAGACAGCAGCCGGGCCCCAGGCCTCAGAGGCCAGTGTGGACAGGGGGCCTAAGGAGGAATCTTCACTGCACAAAACAGACTCCTGTGACAGCGGTATCACAAAAAGCGATCTTCGCATTGACCATGTAGGCTCCTCCAGGAGCTCCTCAGAGCGCAGCCCCCTGGAGCCACAGAGTGCGGCCCCTGCGCAGGCCGAAAGCCAGTTGCACAGCTCTCTGCAGGAGGCCAAAGCCGAGCTGAAGGGCGACATCCAGAGGCTGGGCCACTGCATGTCTGCACTGGAGCTGCAGGTGGGACACATCCTCCGGCTGCTGACTACAAACATGCGCCTGTCACTGCCTCCATCTCTCCCCCCTCAACCCGCAGCAGACCTCCAGGACTCTGCCAGCACACCCAGCCCCGCAGAGGACGAAAGCACGTCTTTCTGATACTGACACTGTGAAAACAATGCACCACGTGCATGTGACACTGATCGCTGCATGCTGTGATGCCCTTATTTCCGCAGAATATACGTGTTTACTTTAGGGTTTAAGGTTTATTCTTTCTTTACTCTAAAATAATGAGTCTGTGGGTCACACTGATGTTGACAAGACGAATTAGACGGTAGCAATTAGACTCTTGACTTGTATGTTTTATTTATGTTTGGTTTGGCCTTTGTACCTCTGAAACAAACTTTTTCTTTTATAAAGTTGCTTAAGATCCCTTTAAACCTCAAAGAACCAATTGGTTTTGTAACATTGAAGTGGACTGGTGCTGCTGGAACCGGGCAGGTTATGAAAATGTGCCTTATCTAAGCAGCGGATGGAGAGACAATTCAAACTAATGGTATTATGACAGATATTTATTATTGTGATTTATCATTTATTTATTCTGGCATGTAAAAAAGAATATGAATTAACTGTACATTATAATTTGTCCACGTCGTCTCAGGAAACATTGCACTACTACAAATTCAACAATGTTTACAGATCAAGTACACTCACCTTACTTTTCTTTAAATGTTATACACACCTTACCCAGTATGCACTTGCCTTTGCAATATGCTTTTTTAAAACATAAAAACTTACTTAAACTGCAATTGGACACTATTAAATATCCAATAAAGCATCTGAAACTTGTTTGTTTTCATTATTTGATACTATTACTTGGAATAGTGTTGATGGAACAAACAACACTAATTTATAATATGACATTTGTTTAATGCCCTCTAAAAGGACCTGAAGGCTCAGAAAAGCATCCCAACTCTCCGTTTCTCATTTTTAATTGACTTTGTGGCATAACATTTGACCTTGGTAGCATTAAAAGAAACATATTTGAAATGTGTTCAATTTCACCTGGGCCTGGAGTTACATTAAA